TATCAGCACATATGTAATCTCTCGAGACCTCAAAACAACATAACACACAAATATTTTAAATGCTTATTTTTAAATTTTTTTTATAAAAAATAACTACAACTGGATACTGTTAAATCAATCACAATAAATAACAAAGTTGATATATCATATTTTATGAAATTTTTTTTAACTCTAAGTCTACATTTTATGTCCAACATCTGATAGTCTTATTGAATTTTATGAATTATAACTATAAAAAAAAGTTTAAAAAAAAATTAAAAAATATAAAATACTATTTGTTTCAAAAATGATTTTTATCTTCATGTTGAAACATTTTTTAGTGATTGTAACTTGTCGTATTTCTTTTCCAATCAATTTATTCAATTATGCAGAAAACTCTTGGTGCAGAGGTCTCTACAATAAATAAGGTTGTTAAATACTCATAATTTTCTTCGAATTTAGCTTGCTTTATCAAAATATTAAATGCCAAAAATTTACGATGAAACCGAGTAGACTTATCCCAAAGTACTATGTGTGATCAAGTGAATATAACCGAATCATCTTTAATCTGACTTTCATCCTAGTTTTATTCCGAAGTTCAATGCAGCATCTTATTAACAGTGAAGATACCTAAAAAGTCTTAGCTTTTGAATTGGTATATACTTTACATTATAAATGACAAAACACAAACGATCAACTAGAAAAAAATTCAAAAAACTGAAATTTATATGATATCGTTACAGTTGTGAAATTTAATTGAAAGATGCAAGGTTTCACGTAGTGAATACATTGTGATTATATCTAGATTGAGTTGATCTTTGGTTTATCGTAATCATCATTATGTCAAGTTTTTTAGGTTTTGTTGGAAACATATATTGATTAGCTCTAGACGAATTCGAATGGATGATGAGACGAAATTTATATTTTTTATCCTCAAGAATCAAGTGTCATATTTAGCGCATATAATTCTGAAATTTTTGGATTTGAAGAAACTTTATTTTTACCCACCATGTACCAAAGATAACTGAAGGGTACTCAGACGTCTAGCATTTTAAGTGGACTTATTACATATTGCCTTGCAACTCTTTTATTATGAGCTAGATTCTTTCAATCATTAGGCTTGATAAGAGAACGATGTTATGACCATGGTTCATGGCGCCAACTTAGAGAAGCTATATCGGGCCGCGACATGTGGAGCTGACTATTTGCAAGACCGCTGTCGTAAAAAGTCCTTTCGTCGGACACCATATCATTTGAAAGTGACTACAGACAAAAACCATCAGTCTTCCATCTCCCATTGTCATCATCTGCTAATCGGTTTGTCCTTTTGTCAACACTTTGTACAGTAAATACCTGGTGAATATAATATGACAGTGTTCTAAACTACTTCGTTATCTCCCATTGTCATCATCTGCTGATCGGTTTGTCCTTTTGTTAACACTTTGTACAGTAAATACCTGGTGAATATAATATGACAGTGTTCTAAACTACTTCGTTATCTTAAGTGAGAACAATGGTTTCCCTTAAAGTTACGCATTTAGAAAAAGATGTCAGATTTGATAGTTTCTATCACACCCCTATACAGTACATGTCACACTTATAACTATATATTTATATTTAATATAGCCAAATTTGTTTCTTTCTAATTAAGACCATTGTGTTTTCCTGATTTTCATGTAATCATGCGAGGGAGATAGTGCTATAAGATGAGGCTACTGGTACGTAGGTCTGCATGATATTGACATCTTCTTGGGTACGGACATTGGTTTTCTCTCTGCATTTATGAATCCTCTTGCTCTTACCTTTAACGAAAGTGGTGGGTACACACTGTGGGGAAGTTAAAGGGTCTTTACAAAACCGGGGATCAAATACCGTCGAGATAATCTGCTTCCCAAGTTGGGGCCATATTTAGGGGGTCTTTACAAAAGCTGGGGTCAAATACTGTTTTTGAAATAGCGCGTCTGCACTTTGATCTTTAGAATTGGTACTCTCTCGCTTTACAAAACACTCGAGCACCAAGTACTAAAGCAAAGTCTTGTTTTAGATGCTTCATGACTTGGCGCTGAGTTGGCGTCTACGTGGAGGGTAATAAATGCAATCCAGGGGCCATATTCGAAGAGCACCTCTCTAGATATTCTAGCAATTTTGCACGGAGTACCATGTGACTCTCATAAAGTCTCGTTATTTTTTTCTGCGACGTGAAGGAGAGATCATAATATGGGTTGCTAATTTGCTCGAGCATATAGGTGGGAGCACTCTTGGCGTAGGTAGAAGGAGAGAATTTTCTAGTTGAGAGAATTAATGCAGGTGAAAAAAATTTGTCGTAAATATTTCAACAGTGTTGAGAATTGGAGAAATACTTCTGTGCGCAGAAGTTGAAGTGGTATCGAAAGGAGTTGTCGAGCATTCAGCAATCACATTGTTGTTCCGAGGAAGACACCATGGATAATTTGTTGTCTTGGAGATCAATGACTCAAAACAATCGGATGGATATATATAGCAGTCTGGCTGAAATTGATAGATTGCTTGATTCCCAGCCCAAAGATTTAGACTCTGGAATCCAATTTTGAAGCTTACTGTATGGGCACTCTTCACAGCAACCTTGTCTAGTGGCAAGGAGTGAGAATGCAGCGTTTAATTTCTGCTGAAGTTAGCCACCGCTAGCAATAAGGTGTACTCCTGCCTTGGAACCAAGAGTTATGTCAAATCTTAATTTCCCCGCAAAATTTTCATTTCAGAAATCACACTGCGAGAATGTACAAAAATCAACCGAACGTGACATGGGAGTTCAGAACAGTGGAAAAGTTGTGGAGTAAGACAACCAATTGGAAGAGAAAGCATTGGCTGAGACTTTGGAGAAGGGTAACGAAAATACGAAAGTTTCACAAAGAGAAAAGAAGCAAAATCCTTCTAAAACAATGAGAGGCAATAAGAAGAAGGCAAAGCAGGTGGTGGTTTTGGACGAGGATGACGATCTTAACAGCAAGGTTCCATGGACTGATGAACAAACCAAAACTTTGATTTATTGAAACATGAGATGAAACCGGAGTTTAAAGCAGCCCCGGCAAGCAAGGTAACTTTAAACATTCCATTCTCAAGATAATGTACATTATATTGAAGACAAACAAATTTTGATGGGTTGTCTTTCTAGGGCGAGTTATAGTTTATGTACAGATTCTTCATTATACGTAGTTTCCAGAATTTTTGCTCGGTTTTCTTGCAATATAATTAACTGTATTTAGTTTTCAGAAAGAATATATAGCTTTTGTGGTTTGTTTACAAGATCTTGGTTTATTAAACTAAGTTGGTCGGACGTCAAACTAACATGTGTATTTGTTGTAATTTTTCAAGAGTGAATACTTGGATCAAGTTGAAGAGAAAATGGTGGTCAGTTGTCGCAATTTCACCAAGACTGCAGAAACTTGTAAGAAGAAGTATTTAGCTGAGTTCAGCAAGTACAAGAAAGACAAGTTGCACAATGTTGTAAACGGTAATGATCAAAAAATAACATGTAAGTTCTATGATAAGCTCTACCTGCATTCTGGAAATTCTTTCCATGTGAAGAAGGCTATTCATGCAAATGCATCCGGTAGTGACAATCAGTGTCTAGTTGAAAACAATTTGTGTAATAACCCACCAAAGGCTAAAACTGCAGTATAGCAGCAAAAGGGTCGAATCCAGAGTGACAGAGGCAACACACAGAGTACAAAGTGTCACGTTTTAACAGACTATTGAAGAGTTTAAATTCTCAGGCGACTGTCACTCCCAGAAATACTGCAAGTGCTCAACTCGAAGTTCAATCGGAGGACGCACAGTGCAGCGTAGTTCACCCCAACACACACCTGAAACTGGAAAAACACAACTCAGAGGCCGATTAGAACCTCTCCTTAAGATTCAGGGGTAAAATTTCTCACGAGTACATTCAGAGGATCTGCAGGTAGTGTTCCCCAACTCCGGATTGTTAACTCTGATTGCTAGAGCATAGCACCCGGGTTGGACTTCCTACTTCGGATGCGGTACCTTCGTCAAAGCGAAGTCACTCTCACGCGGTGAACAACACACTCAAATCACAAAGAGGTGTCTCCCTCATAGCATACAGAGTTACTATCCCTTTGCTCCCGTTCTTTCGTCCAGCCCTGTTCCTTCACCACTTCTTTCTCTGATTCGCCACTATGCAAACCCTCCCTCTCTTCCTCTCCCTCGCTCTCGGGAGACATCTCTCTCAAATCTCAGACCCCACTCTCAGATCTCACTCTCAGATTTCAAATTCCACTCTCTAATTTCAGATCCGACTCTCTACACTCGAGGATTCTCTCCCTTCCCTTCCGAATTCTCACCCCTCCCCTGCAAAAATTACTCAATCACTCACTCTGCCCCCTACGACCAATCCAACCTGCGTCCACACACAATGGCACACCTCCGCAGCACCGCCCGAAACCCCACCGAACACCACAGTTCACACAGCAGCACCGCACGAACCGGCATCCCAAACCTGCGCCCGCAGGCCCTAGGCGCCCTCAACCACACGGCAGGGGCCACACGGCAGCAGCAGAAGGCCGCCGCCCTGCACCCTCCACGCAATGGGTGACACCGGGCTCCGGAACTGTGAGCCGCACCGGCACCGCAGCCTGGCCGTGGGATGGACAGCTCCCTTGCATCGCTGCCTCGCCGCCTTCACAGGGTACACCGCTCAATCTCATCGTTAATTTCAAAATCCCTCCCCGAGATCCCCTTCTCGAGATACTAAGCACCGCGGCCCCATCGGCTCTTTCCCTTAATTCTGCATAATTCACTTCTCGTACTCTCTCTTGATCATTGTTTCGTCCGCTCTACTTGATTCTTGCTCGTCCCTGTCACTCTCGTAGTACTCGTCGCTATGTTCACCTCCGTTGCTTCCTCATAGCTCGCTGTCGCGGTACCTGCACCAACATGGCTTCGCGCGGCTACAGGATCATGGGAGACAAAGACGCTCTAGCGCTGGCAGGCTAGCTAGAGACGGGTGCGCATCATAACTGGAGCATTTAGTCAATGAGCTGGCTGGCTTCCTCTGCATGACCTGCTTTACCAACTGCGTCGATCAAAATACTGTAAGTAACCACATCAGGTTCAATTTCCCTCGCCTTCATTTCTTCGAAGAAGCCGAATGCCATGTACATACTCCCCTCCTTGCCCACACCATCAGTCAACGTATTGTAGGTCACGAGATCAGCTTTTACCCCATACGCCTTCATCATCCCTAATAGCTCACCTGCTTCCTCTGTCCTGCCGGCCTTGCCTAATCCATCCATTAAGGTGTTGTAAATTACTACGTCTTCAGATAAACCCTCAGTTTTGGGATCATGGAACTTGTGCGGAGCTTCTTCTGTCCTACCGGCGTTGCAGAGTCCACTAATCAAGCAAGTGTACGTCACCAAATCCGGACGAGAAGCTGAGTTCTTCATCTCCTGAAAAAGCTTGCATCCATCCCCAACCCAACCGACTTTCCCTACGTGGTGAATGAGAGTATTGTAGGTAATTGTGTTCGGACCACAATTATTGGCCTTCATTGTGTCAAAGACTTGGAAGGCTTCCGTTATTTGGCCAGCCTTACACAAGCCGCTGATAAAAGTGGAATAGGTGATTACATCAGGTGAGGGACCACCTTCTATCATCTCTTCGAGGAGCTTCTTCGCCGCCTCAGTTTGTTCCAACCCGCACATTTTACTGATTAAAATGTTGAAATAAATCCAACAAACGTTCCAGCCTCTTTGACTCATATCTGTCAACAATGCTCTGGCTTCCTCCATATTTCGGGCTTACTAATCTCCTTAGAGTTGACAAGCTTGTAAAACATCGCGACATATGTGTACTCGCTCCAGCAGAAGATTCACTCTCCTCACAAACTTTGCAAGAGAAGCACTATAAAATGGATCCACATTCGAAGTCGACGCCATGTTTCCTGAAGCGACACTTTATTTCACTCCTTTCATTTATACTCTAAGCGTGATTGCTATTATATATACTTCCTTAACTACAAATAGCATTCAAGCTATTTTTTTTTGCTTGGGGTATGATTCTAGGTGATGAGTCTTGCACTTTGTAGGAAAAGAATATTAGTCCGACGGGTACACCAACGGGTACATCCGGGATCCTGTCCTCTACACCTCTTTCATATCTGTCTACTCTAGGAGGCCCCTCCGCCACGGCTTGGACGCATTTCACAACCCTTCCAGCAACTGGTCTTCCGTCTCCTCTGTTCTTCATGTGATGCAGAAAACCCGCCCCGGGAGCGTCTGCGAATTGCACCCTGGAGCAGCGATTCCCTCTCCCGCTACAGGAGATAGGGGCATGAAACACGATCGCTAAGTCCCTGAGCTCCATGATGCCCTCTAAAGCCATCGCTCCTGTCGTCATCAGAAGAAGTGCTCCTGCGCTAGAATGTACACCGCTCCCTCATACCTGAACCCTGCCCGCAAATCTTCCTCTGCTCCACCTCGGTCAAAATCTACTCCGCCGAATCCCTTCTCGAAGAACATGCAGCTGCAGAGAACCCGAATCCCTGACGGTGAAGCCCCACGACGAGGACTGACACTGCATCCGGAACGACCTTTGACACCTCCTGGCAGCCTCAATCACCCGGAAACCAAATCTGGCCCGACCACGAATTTAACATCCACGAGAATTCGCCGCGCACGTCGCGTCTAGAGGGCTCTAGTCCGAAGCTTTGCCGATTTTGACTCCTAGCAATTTGGAAGAGTTTAGTCGTCTCCGCGGAGCTGAACACCACAGCTTGGCGATCGTTCAGAAGACACATTCAAGCAGAGATGTAGTGAAGCCCTTTACTCTCAGCAAGTCCAATCTTCGGCCCACACCAAATTGTTCACTGAACTATCAAAAATTTCCTTCAAATATACGTTCATGATATCTCCCAGGCGTGTGGCACCCCAAATTTTATCGATTTCTATCTGGCCGCAATTCTTTAAACAACTTCACGATCCAATCCAGATGCAGGTCTATGTCAGATCATATCTTAGAACCTTCGTTAAGATGCACGTCGGGGTCACCCTCACTCCAGCTGAATCTGTCTGAACGCGCTCGGATTACCTGCTGTAACTTCCTTTGCATTTAACAGTCCTAGAGTCTGACATTCCAAAATTTCTGAAACATATCACCTTAAGCATTTGCTCACTCACCGGTACAAATGCCATGCAATATTGCACAGAATAACTTCAGGTCCAGCCGTAACGGATTTAGAAGCAAGCTCTTCTAATCCTTAAATCCCTCCTTACATCCGAGAACTTCATCCGCTTGGTTGATACTCTGAAATCGGGCGGTGGCTCTTGGCATTGTGGCGGTGAGGCAAGACTTTGCTGAATTTGTCCAGATGTCAATTCAGCCATCCTGTAAGCAGTCCAAACTTCTTCCGTTGTAACAGTCTGACTAACTCCAAGTATTGCATCCGAACATTACTTCCTCCCTCCATCGTCTATTTTCCCGTGCCCCCTTTCTCTGTAATCCCTCTCCGCATTATGAAGAAAACCTGGCCTATCCTCTCTTAAGTGTTTTTCTTGTATAGTCGCCAAATCCTTCTCCAGTAAGCTGCTTCTTCTTCGTTGGCTCGAACCTCTTGGGACCTGGTATATTTCTAGAGTAATGATCTCATTGCACAGATTGACACGAGGCTGCTTGTTATCTTAAACACCTACCAATCCCTCACAACCATGCTCTCCCGCCTCTTTTCTAGTCATTGCTTGAACTCATAATTTTTCAAAAATTATCATTAAATTCTCGACATAATTTTTCGAGATTTTAAATCCAAAATTTTAACTCACACAATGTTAAAATGACATACGAACGCATTTTTGTGTTCACAATGCAAAAGCCATCCAATTGATTAGTGTTGCCTATTCGAGTCCTGACTAGGCTCTGCTTCGTGGTTCTTGTATGTTACGAGGTCACAACTGATTGTAAATTTATAGACTATCATATACCAGCAGTGATTATTTATGAAATTGGGTTGTATTTTGTCATGATGTCTTTTTATGGAAGTCCGTGAGGATTCCGAACATAAATATGTGTTGCAGGTTCAAGTCCAGCCTGGGATTGAGCATTTTTATTCAAGGTTAGATGAAACTGTTGAAAGTTAGATATATGGGAACTTCAATTGCAGTTCCCGTATATCTAACTTGCGCCGACTGCTTGACGAGCTGCAAATTATACGCTCTGGTGCAATCCCAAATATATGTCAAAGAGTTCAACACTTGCGAGTACCTCGAGCAAGTACCAACTTCAACTTAACCTGATTTGCATCTCTCATGTGACAATCAAGTTGCTATAAAACTCGCTCTCAATCCTATTTTTCATGCTAAAACCAATCGATTCCAACTTAGGTCAATTTGCATCTCTCATGTCACAATCAAGTTGAGATAAAACTCATCTCAAATTTTCATGCTAATACTAAACACATCAAGGCCAAGCATCATTTTGGAAGGAAATTAGTTTTAGAGGGGAAAGTTGCACTAGAATAAATACACATAAATGACAATTTGTCTTATCTTCTGATGAGGCTTCGTCCACAACACAAGATTGTTAAATATCAACACTTTATTCGTATGCATTGACTAGAGGAATGACAAGAGTTTGCCAAGCCGGTTTGATAGGCTAGCTGTTCACTATTGTTGCCAACTCTGCATTGAAATGTGCTCCGAGGTATTAGACACAAATCTCCGCGAGCACACAATTACAAACGACACTATCCTGAGCTCCATGCTAGTGGCCATTGCGATTATCGTGGTTCCCTCAAAAGGAGGTGTTGTAAGTCTAAGTAGATCCAATTAAGGACTCAGTTCAGGATATTGGAGGCAGATCTCACTTGCGTCATAGTTCTCAAACTATAGAACAAGGGAGACCCTGCTGGGAAACGAGAGGACTACTAAATCCGGGTGTTTCCGTCCAGGTACGAACTGGAGACCTCCAGTGTGTTAGACTGACGTGATAACCAACTACACCACGGAAACGTGATGCACGAAATATACGAGCTACAAATTCAAAGTTAAAAAATTTGATTTTTGGATAGCACAACATGCGCCAAGGGATACGAAAACCTTCGGAACATACAGTCCGATATTCAACCTTTCTCTCTTCGAAGTCACAGCATCTGTCAGTCTTGCTCCACCCAGTTTCTCCTTCCTTCACAAGACACGTGGGAGCCTCACAAAAACCTAAATTAGTTGTGAGTTTAAACACATGAGTTTAAGTTCTTAAAGTCATGTTTGAATATAATAGGTTGATCTATATTTAATTCATGGACTCAGTCGTTAGATATGAAGTTGCAACTATTGGTATTTTGCAAATCAATAATCCTATTCAGTTTTGTATTTCACAACAGAAAGGATCTTGCGCTGAACTACTGCACCATTTACGTTCGGAAAGAAGAAGATAATTGGAAGAAGAAATTAAAATCCAGCCGTACTGGACTGTGAAAGTTGATGCATGAACACTAAGTTTGTTTATCTTTTCAAAACAGACGCTTAGTATAATAGAATATTGGGGCCGAGGTTGGACTTGTATCCCCAGGAGATATCCATGTTTAGAAGGCTCTGGCAATAGGCTCATGGGGCTATTTACATGGAGAGACGTGAGGATTGACTCCATCAAGATAACAAGCTCCGGCTTTTCTGGGCTGTAGCAGTTCCGTGAGTTTAAGGTTGTTCGGAAATATTCCAAAAAAGCCCCACGAAAAATGCTTCAAATCCTCATACAGAGACTTGAAAAGTTTCTGCCAGTTTCATACACTCGCCGCACACTAAATGATAACCTGTCGCAATTTGCAGTCTTATTTGTACTCCTTACGGCTCCAACAGAGAAAAAGGCAGGGAGAGATCGCTGGAGGCTGCTCACGTCGGATGATCGTCGGAAACCGTTCACGCACGCTGTCCCTCGACTGCGAAGAGGGGATAATGATCGCTGCTCGGTCGCCCGCCTCACGCTGTGCCTTCCGCATCATTTCCCCAGACTGTGCTCGCTTACGCGGAGGAGCCCCGGCCAGAGACTCCGCGCTCAGAGAGAAATTGCCTTCCACATGATCTCAGCGGTCCTCTGCAAGGCCTAGCTCCATCTCTCCTACTCCCGCTCGGGTAACAGGCAGCCGAAACGCTGCCCAGATGTGAGATTTCGCTGCAAAAGCACCTGATATTGTCCCCGTTTGAAACCTGACGGGGCTTATAGTTTCTCAATCGGTGTTGTACTTTGAAATGTCCTTGTTCATAGAGCTGTTCATTAGTTGGTCTTCCATAGTCGTACACAGAGTGTACATCTGTAAACATAAAGAATGCATTTCCGTGCATCAAGTACAACACGAACAATTTTCTGAGCAAGAGTTATTATTTTTCTGCATGGAAGACTTTTAGCATGTCTTTTGAGATGGAACTAATTTCCATAGATTTTTGAAAGGAAAATGAAGAGACTGCATCATACATAAGTCGTATTGCTATGTAGGTTATCTCTGTTCGTAATCTCAATAAGTCCAGCTTTGTTATTACCATATTTGGTGCAGTGCTATCTATGAAATTTTCGGATAATTTTCATGTTCAACAATCCGAGGAAGAATAAAATTCATTGTAGAATGATATCGTGCCCTCCTGTAATGTGCAATTTCGCTCTGGTACATCGGACATGTAGAAAGGATGACAGTTTTGGGTAATGATGGCAGACTCGAAAATTTTGTCTCCTTTAGCAACTACGAACCTTAATGCTGGCTGGAATCCCCAAGCCCGGTCTTGAGGTCCTTTCTGCAGTGACACATGTTTTAGACACTCTCATGTCCAACGCGCAGACACACTTGACAGGCATTCTCATTTTCATTTTACGTTAGGATGTGAGCTTCTCAGTGAAAGCTTTATGACGAATTCACGGTCACAAAACGAGGCAAGCTAAATACTTAACATATATTCGTCGGTCTTCTATGAAAACATAACCGATGAGTACATATTTTACACTGTGCTGCTGTTGGAGCCTAGCCCCGTGTTACCCCTCTGGTTCCATGACTCTAACTAAAGCTTGAAGGGGCTACCCATTCCTTTCGAATTTTACTCCGTTTCTCTTGTCTTGAAAGTCCTTTATTATGCATTCGCAGGAACGCATGCAAGAGAACTAAGCTTTACTATATGTTTCCATGCGTTAAAGTTGGAGGGGATGATACAAATAAAACAAGGGTTTCAAGTCGTAATAAGTTCTCGTCTCATCTACTGAAGAACTATTACTTAATGATTTCTTCCTTGGTATGAAATGGCGACTGACCTATCAAGTTGCTTTGCCAAGACTTCAACCAGTCAAACTTCACTTCATCAACGGAGACTTCAGTCACAAACCACAGTAACGCATGTGGTTCGTACTTACTCGAGAAACTCTCTTCACCGTACTCAACTGTCCATGTTTTGTCAAATGGCCTCTGTTTGCACGTAAGCATTCTAACTTCTTGAAAAGAGTAGAACGAAGTAAATTACCCACAAAAATCGTATCCATCAAACGGTACATCGGTGAAACTAAGAGGGACATCATGGGCTAGGTACCAGCAGCATCAAAATGGTAAATATTGCAACTAATATATGCCAACCATGTCAAAGTCTCTGCCAAAAACTGAGAGTAGCTACGTCTATTGTGATTGCTATTCTATGAGGAACACCGGCTAATGAAACACGTTAAAATTAGCAAATCTAGAATAATATAGAAGAGTGTTACAGATGAGTGAAAAAGTAAATATTATCGTGCATTTTCTTCAATCTCCATAAAACTCCCCTCATGAAGTTTGGGGTTTTTGCATATCAGCCTTCTTGCATGAAATGATTATCAGGAAGCTGAAATTTGACACAAAAAAAACAGGTCACCTCATCTCGTTGCATCGATTTGCAATCGATTCATACATCACTTGCCTTGAATCGAAGAGAAACACGAGTTCACAGGACGCTGATCTGAAAGCTGTCAAGATTCAAGTATATAAATTTTTTTTAACAAATTATGTATATAGTTATATTTTGAAAGAAGTAATGGAAATTTGGAAAATATAAATTTATTCAAAGCTTATAATCATACATGATAAATCAAATAGAGTTGAGAAATAATTATTCTACTGCATCAAATTTATTTTCAGTTTTGAAGATAAATTTTAAAACTGAGATACACTTGAAACCGTCGTAACGGTTTTAAATGAAAAACGTTTCAAACTCTACGATGGTTTACCACTCTCCGCGCCTTCTGTAGCAGAAGGCGGATGCTGCCACTGCAGTCGGATGTGACGCTACGATGGAGAATTTAAACTTTTTGTTTGAAGTTGAGGAGTTAAAACTTGGAAGAGATGAATTCTCAACCTCACCTATAGTTCAGTGTGAGCTTTGGTCTGTCTGTGATCACAGATTTCTGGAGTGTGTGGGGAAGTTGTGAAGCAATTTCCGACCTCTCGGCACTTCTTTCGACCTTCTTGGGTTGTTTACAGACTCTGCGCTACCTTCGTTCAATGAAAGCCAGTCAAGGGAGGAGCCGGCCATTTTTTGCTGCTTGTGACATAGGTGATTCTCTAGAGATTGATTGCATAGTATTTTTGTGGCGTGGATTGTCTACTTATTAGCTATTCATTGAGTCTCGTTTAGTGTTTTAGTTTGCTAACCTTTCACAGTCACAAATATTTTAATACAATATGAGTAAAGCAAAGAAAAATTGATTTTTTTGCTGGCTATCAAGAATTTACGTGTTTCACGGCCCTCAAAGCGTGAGAATAGAACCAAATCTCGACCGGGATATAGTCCTTCCTTGAGCATTTCTTCAACTAGTTCAAGGATATGTTCGTTGTTATCTTTTAATTATCGCAAAATTTTGTTATGGTTAATCATTAATTGAATGGAAATTTTTGTTAATTTATGAGACTTTTAAAATATTTTTTGAAACTCATCTATTTGATTTCACTATAACTGATGCTTCATGAATCTATCACTATCATGATCCAATGACATTTCCATTCCATATCCATAACTCTGATTTATGATCCATGGTCCTACCATTGTATTGTTCGAGAGTGCGAGAGGCTAGAGTGGGGTTGCCTTTGCCTCGTCCTCATACTTCTTGCCTCGTACGCGTACCTCGTATTGTACGCAAGAGTTCGCGGGATCTTCCGCGTATGTTGTCCTCCGTTCTTCTAGCATCGTATATCGTACGCGTACCTCACATTGTACGTGAGAGTCCGAGGGGTCGCCCTCATCGTACCTCGTACGTTACGGATCGTACGGACCAATTATATCTTGTGCTATTGATGCGTTATGAGTAGAAAAAGCAAGCAACTGCTAGAAGTATTGATTCACAAAATGAATGAACCTCTACGAGGTGAATTAACCTCATCTGTAGAATTAGTCACTAAATGACTAATTCTACAGATAGGGTTAGTATTGCTTGCATCCTACTTGATGAATCAAGGTAGGATAGTCTTGCTAGTAGAATCTATCCAGGTCGATCAATCTGATCAACCATCTGATCATTCTATAGAATATGATTTTGGGCCTACCTGCTCTCTTTGCGAGGGAGAGCTTATCGGGTCCTTTATATGCATAGCTGAATTGCCTTGACTATAACATAAGTACTATTCACTAGCGTTAACTCTGTCTTCACCTTCAAAACAGAATGGGGTCACAGCTGCATAGAGATTACACTTTATGTCTTGGAAAGTACAGTATATCCACTGATTGCATAATACGAAATACATGATGATCTGAGACGAAGTATGTAGTACGTGCACTGGGTTTGCATTACAAATGAAGCCGGTTATAAAGTTTACAGTTCATAAGTACGAATAGGAAAGTAGCTACTTTGTTTACGATCCTGTAGATTGTATAAGATCTACCGAACTAATTCTCACAACATCTATTAAAAAACATCAAGGAGCAGAGAAGAGTTCATTCAAATGAGTCATCCGTTGAGAATGAATCTGGATCTCTGCTACCTTTGATGACCGTTTTATCACTGATTTGAAATAATATTTGTAGCGCGAACATCAAGGATGAAATCTCCACATCTTGATGATCAGAAAACTGACCTTTTCGGACTTGAAGGTGGTACTTTAAGCCTTCACTCAATTATCAAGTGACGGTAGGTACTTTGCGATACACCCAGAACTGAATCTACGATTGAAAGAAGATGTGTTTGGATACAAAGCTTCATCTGGAGTGAAAATGAAACTTGTGGTGGATTTGATTTTTTTTCCAATTCCATCAGTTGAACATGAAAGATGGAAAAAAATAGATCAGATCGCATACCTGTGGTAGACAAAAGAGAGATAAGATTCTAAAAAATATGGTTTCTCGAAGGGCTATATGAACACAAGGTTTCAGTGTAAAATGCAAATACCTCAGTCGACCAACGCAAAAGAGCTAAAACATAACACCGAAGGTTTCTGATGAGGAGAGCGTAGAAAAATACATGTTAAAAACTATGGATCAGTACATGGATGTTACTGCTGGAGGATCTGACAGCGGATGTATACACACATAGCTGCGAGTACAAATAGTTCCAGGAGAATGGTGGACGAACTCTTACCACTGAACTCTTCGAATAGATTGTTCAGTTCATGGAATCGGATGTAAAGGCTGCAATTTGAGATGGTGATCTCTGTTGGAACTTACTGATCCTTTCCATAGAAATCAAATGAGTTCGAATTAGAGCGTTGGTCTGATGTTCCGTACATCCTTCGGGCACATCTACAGTATATGAATTACAGTAATTACCAGCGAGCCCAGCGATCCAATCGATCCAATCGCTAGTCACTCTCCGCAACGGAGGAGATTGACGTATACTTTCTGAGTCGGTGTTCACCCCCAAGAATTTGAGAGCTGAGAACCTGATTCTCATCATCAAGCCGCTCTATTCTTTTTATACTGCATTTTGAAGGAAACTCTGGCTGCAACCACACACGTCGTACCCTTCCGAGCCCTCCAGCACCATGAAGAAGGCAGCATCCAACGAGGAACCTTATGTAAACCTCGGGTCTGTCGAATCGTCGGATGACCTTCCTTACGTGATCCGAGGGTGCTCCCATTTCCTTGTTCATGAAGCCTCGTGCTTGGTAGGAGACTTTATCCTGGACGTGAAATCTCTTGATTCTAGCTTCTTCTTCGCTCGTCAGGATCGCAAGGTAAAAGATTGGAACGTGTTTGCGAAAGTATATAGTCCGCGAAGAATTATTTTTTTATAGAGAGAAAGGTGATGAAATTCTGACACAGGTGAAAACCTGTGTCAGAATCTCATCACCCTTCTCTCTAGAAAAAAAACTCTATTAAAAAAGTGATCTGGAAAAAAACATCATGCCCTTTCCAGTGATAAGGATAGTCTTCAACTCTCACGTTCTAAAATTGCATCATATTCCAGCTCCTGTCAAGAATATGTGACAAAAAACACTTCTAGCCATTCAGCCATGCACTGAACACATCCATGAACAAGAAGCTTTTCCAAAACTTTGACTTACGAACTCTCATTTCATATGACTCCCTAAACTGAGGGTTATCAAATGACAGTGACAAAGAGTAGAGAAAGTTCTTCTCTTTTACCTCCTTCGTCACTGTCATTTCATAATCCTTAGTTTACGGATGTCGTCGGCAAACTAGAAAAGCTATATGAATCGCAGTGGCTTCTGTTTCATATGCGTCAGTTTTTGCAATACCATATTCTGCACTTTCTTGTGCAATCAAAGATTCATCATTATCTATCCTCCTAGCACCTTGGAACTCATGATTTCTAGTTTCAAGTTTAATAGGCAACCGAAAAGTAGAACCAACCGTTATATATGGTATTAAACTTTAAAACGGCAATCCATTAAGATTGGTGACTTTATGGGGTGGAATTTATCCCCAAGTTTTGTATGTTACAAAAAGTAGTAATGCTCGCAAGTTACAAGAGACTAGTGCATTATTTATATCAAATATAGTCGGTTAAAACTTACACAAGAAAATATAATCTCTTCATGTGTAATTGCGCCATTGTAACATGTGTTTATTGTTGTCATCTGCTCGCGACAACAAGCTCGCTGATATCCGTTAAAATTGGCATATCACAATCAAATTTCTTCCTAAGAAGAAGTGATTTGCTCTCAAAATATGGAAGGGACTACTCTCATGCTAGAAAAGAACTATGGATGGGACGAAAAATGATATATTGGCATCTAAAGGCTGAAGACGAGAAAACTACATAATATATAATACAAACACCAAAAATTTCATATGTGTCACTGGGATAAGGACTATATGTCATGTAGGTGAAGACTATAGGTGAAATCCAAGAAAAGCTTAGGATTGTGGATTGGAAATTTCGACTACAAAACGGAAATTATAAGTAGAGATGATTGAATCTTTCCTTGAATTTTTGTCTAGAATATAGCAATCCAATAAAGAATGGGCATCGAAAGTTCCTACAAACATACGTTTATCAAATTGGAAGCGCTTTCCCACTAACTTTCAGATAATGGCATCATCAAAGACAGAAGTATCTAGAAAGCGTACTTTTAGCTAAATCATTACAAAAAGCTTCAAGTAGCAGATCCTTGAACAAAAAAGGTTAAGATAACCTGAAGTAGGAAGTTCAGGGAAAAACATGATAACATAATCCTGAAGATATTCAAAGTTCTTGCTCTATCGGCGCTAAGGACTATTATAAGCAGACTATCAAAGACTTTCAAGAAGACAACGAATTCGAGAGACATGAGTTCATCTTGCACTTAATTTTATATAAAGAGAATAAATAACTATGTGTTTCTTAGTTGGAGAAATAGCTTCCACTACAAAAGTTTTCATGTCGTTGTTTACGTCTTTGAACCTAGCACCAAGCTATGGTTGAGCAGTTTCATCATCAGCTTAGGTCGATGCTAGAAACAGTCTCCACGGTATTTCAAGCAAAAAAAGTAGACGAAGAAAAAATTATACTTGCCAAATGTACGAGGACAAGGGAACAAAGACAACTTAATGCTTATGAGCAAACATTATCAGTCATTACAATGAACTGAAACTACCATGTGAGTCATTTATATCGATATACTATATGTCAAAACATAACTATTTGACAGTCTCACATGGAAAGAAGTGAAATCTACAGAATAGATCTAGCAGTACAGCATTGAGTGATATAACTGTGCCAAAGGAACTCATACCTCCTACCCTCGTTTCAAAGAACACGAATGGGATAGAGCTTACCTTGACACCCCACGTGAATACAATTATCTTGGAATATAAAAAATCTGTTTAAGTTAAACTTCTTTCACTTCAATAATCATTAGTCAAAGTTTGTCATAGGTTTCTTTCAATCCTTCTGCTTCGAACGAAAGAAAATAGCATAATGCAAGCTACTTTCTTTATAAAAAGGTATAATCCTTCGAATTTGACACCAATTTTGCTTTTGGTTGAAAATCAAAAGTTTTAAATGTTAATGTAGATGATTAGAGCAAAGGCGTAAATACAGTGTAAGGACTAGGCTGAGAGAGAATCGCGCAAATTAAAAATGATCGTCAGAGCTTCTAAGCCTTCAAGTCGCAAAACACACAGTCCTTGGTGTTAAGGTGCCCAACCGCACTCGATTTCATTTCCTGGGTCGCCGAATATCTGCTATCCATTTACCTCATGTATTCCGACAGAAAGTTTTCAGTTGCGAATAGATCTAAAACTCTCAGGGCCTCCCTTATTTTCTGAAGAAGCTTTGCTTCACTTCTCCTCGAAGAACCCTTGATATACATCACTTGTTCAAATGTAGCGCAAGGCGCAACATTTGAACTCTTGTTACAATTGCAAAAACATGTATTTTGGTACATTAAAATGTCAGTCCGTATTGGAAACAACCAGCAAAGTTTTAACAGTCTAGAAATTGATGTAAACAAAACATACATAATCAAAAGATAGGTAAATTTAAGTTAAGGAAAGAAAATAAATTATTCTCGTGGTGGCAGTTGGACATGCCACTTTTTACTCTTTCACATCATGCAGGCTTACGAATTTGGTGTGGGCGGAAGTAACTTGAACCCCATCGAAACCTTTGATTGCAGGAACTTGACATTAATGAGAGAGGTTTAGTCATCGGCAATGTATGTTTCTCAGCGAGTCATATCCTCGCAGATGTGGGAAACGGAGGCACATCCACACAATTTTTCCTTCACGCATGCTTCTCTTTGATGCATCACGATGCTGCGATCACAAACGAAATTAGATATACTCATTAGAACATTCCTGATTGTTTTTTGGTGCACATCTTTTAGAACCGGACGCACATCCACACAATTTGTCCTTGACGCATGCCTCTGTTTGATGCAACAGTATGCTACGATCACAAACGACAGTAGATATACTCATTAGAACATTCCTTATTGTTTTGGAGGCACATCTTTCCGGATTGAACTACGTCTTTAGTACCTTATGATGATTCTTCCACTTTTTGTCGCCTTTGGCCACCGCTATATTCATTTTACAAAGAACGCTGGATGACTGCCGTTGAAGAAGACTGAAGTCAACTCTCACGAGTGTCTGACTTATTTCAATGTTGATTATCTCAATGAGAGGGATCCGAGAGTGATTTGAGGTTAACTACCCACTGGTGGACAAGTTGGCGGTTTGTATAAATACAAAAAGCATGAAAGTTTTATCCTTCCCAATATCTGAGATGGCGAACAACTTATACTCATACTTACTTGATCCTCATACTCGGATATTGCTTCAATAGTTTCACCTCAGATTCACTTTTTGATTTATCAATCCCTCTCATTGAGATAATTGACATTGACCTAAGATCTTGCATTGAGATACTGAGACATTCCATATACAATAAGATACATGATGAATTACAAGATAACATATTGATGATTCGCAACAAAATTTGGTTAGAATCCCATAAAATATTCTCAAAAAATATTACATTCTAAGTCCATTACATCACTCGTTCATTGAGCTACTGGGCCATTCACATGATGACAGGAAACGATGAACTACAGAATTATATCATAATTTAAGCAGTATGGAGTGTATAAGTGAAAATCTTTATACTCAATATTTCCATAAAAACCGCCAAAAATAAGTAAGCCGGTGCACGGACTTGAATCCACATGTAATTACTGACTGCAAACAGATAGCATAATTCGGGACATAATAGTGATGAATCTACACTCTGTTCGGTTATTATTCTCTTCAGCGACACCCAAAAGTAATGGACCCCAGTCACGATTCAGCCCTCCAGCACAAGTGTACTTTTGGAAGTCTCTGGCATTGGGTTACTGAGACATTCATGGTACTAGAAGTTTTTGCTGACTCCAAGAAGAAAAACAATTCAGTCAATAGTTGATTGTAGCAGTTCATGGATAAAAAATTTGTTATAAAAGACTCTCAAACAGTGTTTCGTTTGTACTCACGTGTCCATGGAGTTCTTTTCAAGCTTGTGAGACTCCCCACATCAAATTACACTCATGCAGAATTCGGAGCTTTCAAGGTACCCTTTGCCAAACAGAGAAGGCGGAGACTGCGCAAAGCGGGAAGTGATCGCTGCATTGTCGCCCGCCTCACGCTGTGCTTTCCTCATTATCTCTCCATACTCTTCTCACTCAGCGGAGAGCCCAGGACAGAGACTCCGCGCTCCTCTGCAAGGACGTGACTTCCACATGATCAGGCGTTGCTCTCCAAAGGCCCAGGTCCATGTCTCCTACTCCCGCTCGGACTATATTGTATTTCGCTCCTGGTAACAACGAACTGCCGGTTAGTAAGAGATCCCCTAAACAATTGCTTGCAAGGACGATAATTTGCCACTTTCTATACAACGTAACCAGGGAGTATTATCTTTGAAATCGGTTAAAGCAACAGTCAACAACAAAACTTTCCATTCTTGTCATGAATATGGAAAGAAACGGAGGAAAATAGATGCTGTTTCGAGTTGCATTACGAATGGAAGCCCAAATAGATATAATATATTCAGTATACTCATTGTGCAGCAAAGAAAATTTTAATATAATAGTATCCTCCCGATTAAATAGTCATCCGTTCAATTAAGTATTGTTTTCCCCAAAGAATAGGGTTCAGATTTAGTCAGTTCAACATTTCATAGATTGTCAATCTTGCGTTTGGAAACCCTATATTTGTGTAGATATGTCCATAGGGGGAAAAGAAGGACCTATTTCGATGGTAGGTAAAAAACCAAGCTGGCATTGTCCAGTACACTTTTTTGAATCATTTTGGCAATAAACCGGTACAGGTCGTCTTATGCTTCTAGCAATCTAGGATTGTTGTTGTTGTTGACTTCAGATTTTCTTTACGTGAAGCAGCACCTTTTGCAACTCTCGATATATTTTGACTGAATTATTCATTACCAATATGCCTTATGAAGCTCTTTCGAACAACCAAAAGAGTAGTGAA